GGGGGGGTGCTGGGACTTGAACCTGAATCTCTGGCTTGCAATTCAAGCATGCTTCTTTGCTGAGCTTCACCCCAGCCCAATCCATTAAGACACTGCTCTTCTTCTGAAAGTAAGCATATATTAATTTTTTCTCTTTTATCATTGTGAACCCCGTGGCAATTCTGCACCATCCCTTTATTTAGAAACTAAAGGTGTGATGAACATAAAACAGTAGAAATCAATGGGTCTGGGATTAGATCCTAACTAGAGCACATATCTCTTACTGTTTTAAGAAACTGACATTTTCATAGACCTTAAAATGGCCACAGTGAGCTGTTCTCACATTCAATTGACATATTGTCACTTTTCGATGTCAGAACAATTGATTGGTCCTTTTCAGTGTAGAAACCAGAGAGATGAGTGACGGCTATGGTCTATAGAGCGATTTAGTCTATCTGCTGTTAGGGCTGAGCTCATTGGAACAATTCTCTATGCTTACTTCATGTTCAGATAAGAGTAATCCTTCACCTTCTCCTCAACTTTAGCAATGCCAGTATGGTCTGGCTAACATGTTGTACACCTGGAGGACATATTTATAATCCCTAAAAACATAAGTCACTTCCCTCCAACTGCAATATCCGTATCGTGATGCGCTTGGAAAATGTCCAGCCACTATCACATACTGTTGCTTTTTCTGTTGGTGTTTGTACTGTGTGGGAGTGGAGTTGAGGGCAGTGTCCAGCGTGGGGTAAAATCAGATGGGGTGGGCAATAGAATCTAGGGAGATAGACAACGGAAAACAAAGGAAGCTGCCCCTGCTTTGCCTTATGAGAGTTGCTATAAGAAAGGCATCAGAGCTGCTTTGTCTTTTTAAACGGCAGACTTCATTGCCAAGTAGTTCTGGAGGCTGAAATTCCAAGGTCAGTGCATCTATAGGGCTGGTTCTTTTGAAGCACTAAGGTGAGAAGGATATATTGTAGGCCTTTCTTGGTTTGTTGCAGACCATCTTCCCCCTATGTCTTCAGAGTCTTCTCTCTGTCTGGTATCTGTAGCTTCCTCCTCTTCCTTCTCCTCCTTCTCCTCTTCTTCCTTTTCTTCTTCTCTTCCTCCTCACCTCATTTTGGCCTTAAAGGACCTATCTACAAACACAGTCTCACTCTGAGGTATTGAGAACTTGGAGTTCAGCATATATATTTGAGCAAGAAGCAGAAAAGAACATAAAATCAAAGAAGTTTCCAGAAGCACATCTTTAAATCAAAAATAGGTAGGGGTGGGGAAGGGATCTCGGTGGGTAAAGAAGTCCGTGCTGTGCAAGCAGGGGCATCTGGGTTTGTATCATGTACATTGGAAGCTGGCCATGTGGTCCCTGCTTGCTGCCCCAGTGCTAGGGAGCCAAAGACAGGAGGATCCCTTAGGCTTGCTGGCCAGCCATTCTAGCAAAACAAGTGACAGGCTTTGTGAGATGGAGAATGATGTAGGAAGACAGCTCAGGCTCGGGCTTGAATGCCAGAGGAAGTTTTTTGGGAATTTGTAAAGCTAGGCTTTTAGAGATTTGGTCTTTCCAAGGGATAGTTCTTCTTTGATCTATACAGAGCTTATGGAATGGTCCATTTCTGCATGTGAAAAGCAGAGGAGAGAGGTCCCAAGCACAAACTTTCAGAGTATTTTCTCTCAGAGATGCATGAACACAGTTGCACTGGGTGCATTTGGAAGACTCTGAGGATGGATGTCTCCTTCAGGTTTATGCACTGAGTACCTTTCTGCCCTATCCTGGCACTTCTGTAGGAGAAGAGAAAAAAATAAATAAAAAGGTTATTATATAACAGTCACACCTCTCAGCTGATTATACCAAACACCGAGTACTCAGGTGTTCTCAGAAGTAGGTTGAAAGTATGCTTGCTACCAAGATCAGAGAGAGACACACACAGAGAGAGAGAATGAACTCATTGATTAATCATTAGGGACAGACACCAAACCTATGCCTCTACTATATCCCTTACCCCAGGACTTTTGGCCTAACCTGGGATGCTTTCAACTTTGGAGAAGATGATAATCTATAGAACAGTGGGAATTTGAAAGAGGCTCTTTCCAATCAAGTCCTTTGGCAGCTGGTCCCTGACCTGCACATTCTGTTTGAGAAACCTTTGGTTTCTAATGAAGCTTAATTGATTAGTTCTATCTGTACAAAGCTCAGGCCCTAATAAGCATGCTCCCACCGGTGCAGAGCTAAATAGTTTATGAGGTAATTTGTATTTTAATGTCTTTCCTAATGAGTCCTTTCAGTAATGAAACCCCCTGAGAAAACTTTATTGCTTCATAGACATTTCTTAGGATACCAGGGCAGGAAGGCTGAGCAGGAAGTTGTCAGCTCTGGTGGAGAAAACAGTTTTAAGATCAAAACAAATCATGCTGGTTTTTTTTTCTCTCAAAAAGTTCAAATACGATCCTATGCTTTGTTTTCTAAACTGGCCTTCACTGTCATTTTTCGTATTAAAAATGAGACTTTCTTGTCTGAAGCTCTGTAATCCCTGGCTTTATAGAAAACAGGTCATATGAAGGTGTCCAGTGTGTAATCTTATATCAACATGAAGGTGATTGGAAAGGAAAAGGAGACACAAATACTCACATCTGAACACACACAGAGAGGGAAAGAGAGAGAAATGAGAGAGACCACTTGCAATGTGACCCAACATATCCTCCGTGTTATTTTTTTAGCAGCATCATTCACTTAGTTAATAAATTATTCTTCATTAAGGCTAAAACAAAAAAATAAAAATAAAAAGTAAGTACTTTCGCCATGCATAGTGGCTGAGAAACAAAACAGCTACTTGTAGACTCTATCTGAAGAGAGTCAAGTCTGTCTCCTTTTAAGAGAATGAGGAAGCAATGTCCTGGGGTTTTCTAGTAACCCTTCATAACCTAGAAGAGTAAAGGAACCTACCTTTTTTTCTCCTAGGACTGAACAGAAAGATGATTCACACGCTCTTTACTATTTTAAGCCTGACACTCAGGCAACGAATTCCAATTCCAGTAGGGTTTTCCTGGGCTCTTTTGGGTGATATGCCCGGTAAAACTCTGGGGTAGATTAAGCTTGCCAAGCTAACTGGATACTCATGGCCAGTTCTGCATAGCCTGGGATACTTGAAAAAACACAAAGATCAAAGCCTTCAGCAGATACTAGATGCTGAACAGCAACCTCTGCTTATCAGTGTCCTCTGACATTTGGTCTGCTGCTTGCACCCCTTCCCCATGAGAACAGCTTTCTCAGGTGGATGAAGGAGAGAGCGGAAATCATCATGGAGCTGTTCCATAAGTCCTCTGTGGAGTAACAACCCACAGAATAGTGCCTTTGTTCTCCCAAGGTGAGCTAGAGCCATATGCCATGTCAAGGAAAAGAGTCCTCTTGAGCCTGTGGCCATGAATCTGACTTCAGATTATGCTTTGTTACCTGCTGACTTTGGATGAACAGGATAAGAAAATAATGACTTAATAGGATGTGAGTTTTAATAACATATCTGTGGGCCAGTAGGAACAGGGACAAGGAAAGTGGGTAGTGTTTTCTTTCCTCTTCTCAGGATCAAGATCAGGGTTGCCTTCGTGGTAGGGTGTACAAGTCTAAATCTACAAAAGCCAAAAGCCATTGTACTTGCAGCGTGGGAAGCTCAGGTTTTAAATGAATGATACAAACACATAAACATGCGAGAAACCTTTGAAAGCCATTATAACTCTTTTGTCACAAGAAAGAATGATATAAAAGCTCTTAGCTCAAAGGCAGAACTGTTACTTTTGGAGAAAGACAGCATTCTTGTCATTGGAGTTGTTAGGGTCAATGCCTTGGGCTCTGGCAGCTCTAGCTAGCTAGGTTTGGCCACCTGTCTCCAATCATCTAATTAAATAAGTTAAATAATAGTGAAAACCAGAGAAAGATTTATTCGGTGTAGTAATACTGGAAAGGGGAGCAAATAACCCTCCCCTAGTGGCTCCTCCATTTTGGGGCCCCAACACGAGGTTTGGGTTTAAGTAGAGACAATAGGT